TATTATTTACATAAAGGAAAAAAAAAATTTTTGTTCAAGTTTTTATCCTCATGTTAATGAGTTGAGTATAACAAAATGGAAAAATCTAATCCATTCCAAGTAAAGTCATCAATATCTCTTAATCTCATTTTCCCTCTTGTATTTGCTAAGCCATCATCGCACTCTATATTTAGGTATGGGCTTTGATTCTATTTGGGATGGCTTTCTTACTATTTATTAAAATAGTTTTTTAGTGTAAAATTTTTAACTTTTCTACTACAAAACTTCTTTAAAAAACAGTAAAAAAATTATCCCAAACAAAACTTTTATACAATCACAAGATGATCAAAAGAAATATGTAAACTACATTGAAAATTTTTCGTCGGTTTAAGTAGAAGGTTCATTTTTCTGTAGAACTTTGAAGGATATTTATATGAATGAACCAAAAAAAATATAAAGTTACATGATGTGAGAACTGCGTCAACAAATTGAGTAAAACTCTATGATTTTAAACAATTTTTAAAAATATCATCATTTTTTAAATTAATATTAATATTTTATTTGAGTTGAAAATTCATATTATTTACATAAAGGAAAAAAAAAATTTTTGTTCAAGTTTTTATCCTCATGTTAATGAGTTGAGTATAACAAAATGGAAAAATCTAATCCATTCCAAGTAAAGTCATCAATATCTCTTAATCTCATTTTCCCTCTTGTATTTGCTAAGCCATCATCGCACTCTATATTTAGGTATGGACTTTGATTCTATTTGGGACGGCTTTCTTACTATTTATTAAAATAGTTTTTTAGTTAAAAATTTTAATTTTTCTACTAGAAAACTTCTTTAAAAAACAGTAAAAAAATTATCCCAAATAAAACTTTTATACAATCACAAGATGCTCAAAAGAAATAAGTAAACTACATTGAAAATTTTTCGTCGGTTTAAGTAAAAGGTTCATTTTTCTGTAGAACTTTGAAGGATATTTAGATGAATGAACTAAAAAATATATAAAGTTACATGATGTGAGAACTGAGTCTACAAATTGAGTAAAATTCTATGATTTTAAACAATCGATCACCATGAAAATGATAGAAATAATTAGTCAGTTTTATCAAAATGTAAAGGTAAATAAGTAGTTAGTTCAATCACTGTAACTACTTGAAGAAACTCCAAGATTTCACATTTATCTATTTATTCTAACAGGCTGAAAGAATAGAAGAGCAAGTTGGAGATTGATAATATGGAGGCTCAACTCAACATAGATTTTGAGAGGAAAGATCTTGGAAAAATTAATAATATACTTGGAATGGTTTTCAAATAAGACAATGATAAGACAAGCTTTGCTTAGCTTGGTTTGGACTCTGATATCAAAAGCTTGAACTCTAGAAATTTGGCATCCATGGAAAGACTAAGCATGTGAGCACTCATTTAGCCATGCATTTCAAACTAAGTGCAGCAATATAAGCAAGAACAAGTAATGAAAGAAGGTAGATAGAGAGTGTTTCATATGCGAATGCAATGGGAGCCTTGGTATTATTAGTATGGTGAGCTAGAACTTTTGATCATTATCATGCAGTGAAATGGATTTTAATAATCTTAAGCATGTAAAATAAAGCAATAAAATTTAGAGATTATCTAAAAAGTTTATAGTAATAATAATCATATAAGTTTATAATAGAGACTACCACAAAAATTATTAATGATGGTTAATTATTAATATTGGAGATGAACTTATGGGTGTCAAGATGGGATGACAAGTTGGGTTTGGATCTGATCTGAAATTGAGCTAATAGAAATCCAGTTAACCTAAACTCGTGTTATAAGTTTGTGTTGATCAATCGAATTGTACTGTTGTCTTGGACTTCAAGTCAATTTCTCATGCTCGTTGGGGGAGTGCAACGGGTCCTCCCCATGCTTGGGTTCGGATGCCCCGATGCTATGTACCCAAGCGCTTTGGCACTATGTAACTGAGCGCCCCAACTGTGACAGCCTAAACTCTTAAATATCTAGATCTTGTCCGCTTTGGCCCGCTTTGGCCTAAGCGCCTTGCGGTTTTGTCTTGTTAGTGTAACCTCGCAATAGGTCACTCATTCCAAAATTGCTCCGGGATGAGTGCGCTTAACTATGGAGTTTCTTACATAAATTCTAGTCATTACATCAAAATGTGCCTCGATGTTTAAGAGTTTAGCTTCTTTTACTTAAGGGGTTTCACACCATTGATATGCTCATGAGCACCCTAGTGCTTCAAAGTTTGTTAAGAGGAGCGATTGAGAGCTTAGTGTCGCAGCACTCTAAATTATGCACCGCAGTGCTATCAGATGGACTGATGATAAATCGAGGTTTGAGAGTTGTTGCGCTTTGAGAGGGACTAGACAATTTTCTTTTTCGTTTTTCTTAAGGGTGGTGTCCCTTGGTGTTACTTGGCTTTCCCTTGTTTTGCGTGTGTGAATAATGTAAGAGAGAAGATAAACAATTGGAGATCAAGATAGAAGAGAGATCATACAAATTTCTTCTATTTTCATAGTAGTTTCTTGGTATGGTGTGCCTCCGTAGTTTTTTCCAAGTTTTGGGATTTTCAACATCAAATCCTGGTATTGTTTACTTTACGCAGCATTCTATTTTTTATTGTTGTTTTTGTTACGTGATTTACTTTCACATCTCCAATAAATCGACCCAATAGCAACCCGAATGATCTGAATCATACTAGTTAATTTGTTTTGTTTAATTTTATTTTACTTAATAACCAGAATGTTAGGATATTTGATAAAAAAATAATAAGGTTATACTTAAAAGGAAAAAAATATATATTAAACGAATTATTTTTGGATTAAAAAACATGTTCATGAGTTAACCTAAATTTGACTTTTTTTAGTAAACGAGTCAGAAAATCCAATGTGAATTTGACCCATTAATTAAACGGGTCAATCTGAACCTAAATTTTTTTAGGTCAAATACAGATAGAATTGGATCCTTATTTACTGACAACCCTAAAAGAGCTCCATCTCTATAGAAATTCATATAATATTTATACAACTGTTCAATAATTCATATAATATTCATACAACTCTTCAAGTTTTTAAATAGCTTTTGCACATCCATGATAACCTCCAGGAAAGTTCTAGGTATTTTATTTTTTCCTCAAAATTTATAGATAGTTCATGATAACCTCCTATTAATTTAGGCAAATGGTCAAACCCCCTTAAACTTTTATATTCTTGTGTTTTTTTTTATAGGTATTTGGGAGCTCATGCAGAACCGTCCGTCACCTATATATGATTATATATTCGAGATTGCAATCATCGTTACCCTGACTGTTGCATTATGGTACATTGGTGATGGTAGAGAGAAAGAATTTAATAACTTAATTTTGAATAAAAAATTAGCACACAGTCAGATAAGAGAGAGAGGGGTGCGAGAGTAATAAGTGGCACAAATATTTTTACGTGAAAAAGGGGAAAAATTATTTAGTTAAAAATGGTTCCACAAATGTTTATAGTTGACTACAAATGATGTCATTCCTCAGGGGAAAGTCATTGCTCAATGTAGCAAGTATACATCATATAGAGCATATTACATGATGAGAGTTTGAAAAAATTCAATGATATGAGAATTATTCTCAAGAGAATGTTGGACTGTTTGTTTGGTCGGTAAAACAATAGTCGGCGGGCGACGGTGGTCGGAGAGCTATAGAGGTTGCAGGGATCATAGTCGGCGGCGACGGAGGATGCAGGGACCATAGTAGGTAGGAAACGGAGGTCGCTGGGACCATAGTCCGCGGGAGGCAGAGGTCGAAGAAACCGTAATTGGCGAGCGATGGTGGTCAAAGAGACCGTAATCAGCAGACGACAGTGGTCGAAGTGAACCGTAGTATGAGGGCCATGGCAATCAAAGAGACTGTGGTCTGGCGACGGTGGTTAGAAGGACCGTAGGCAGGCCACAGAGATCGAAGGGACCGTAGTCAGGCGACAGTAGTTTGAAGGAGTATAGTCGGGCTATAGAGGTCGGAGAGACCTTAATCGGGTGACGGTGGTAGAAAGAAACGCAGTCGAGCATCGGTGGTCGAAGGACCATAATCAGACAAAGATGGTCAAAAGGACCTTAGTCGAACGATGGAGGTTGGAGAGACTGTAGTCGGGTGACAGTGGTCATAAGGACCGTAGTCGGGTAACTACGGTCAGAAGGAATGTAGTCGGACATCGGTGGTCAGAAGAAATATAATTGGCAACGGTGGTCGGAGGAAAGCTTGTTAATGGATTCCATATGTAGGTTAGACAGTCATTGTCGGCCAGAGGTTCATTAGTGATGACCTAGTGGCACATATTTATTTATGGTGGTGCCAGGGTGGAGCTCTAGGATTCTTCAAGATCTAGAGCTCTTCTCTCCTTCATTCCCTTTTTGTGAAGAATGGTAGGTTTATTTATAATGTTTTTGTAGTGGCATCACTATAAAATATGGAGAAGATCATGGGCAAATTGGGAGTGCTCCAACGTATGTCTCATATTGATTTCCTTGATTGTGGAGTGTTTATCAAGTATTTATGTGCCCAGATGATGTCAGAATTAGGCGATTTTGGGCTCGTTGGATTTATCTCCTCGAGTTGCTCGATTCAACTATAAGCATGGCACATTTGGATACCCTTTGGTCATCCAATTAACGTTTTGAAGCTTCCCAATAGGATTTGGTCATTTGATTTGGATCCATTTGGACTCGGATTGAATCGAATTTGGTGTCGTTGGGTTGATCTCTTTGAGATGTTCAATTCAACTATAAGTTTACTGAAATTGAAATCCAGATGATCCTTAATTTAATTTTTGAAGTTTCTGATTCATATTTGCATCAAGATTAGCGGGCAATTTTAGGTGATATATGGCTAAAAAACTTTCTTCACTCAATGATCAACAACAATAACTTATTTATGAAAAATGTAAACCTAATCTTTATTAGAAGAGTAGTCTGAGATCACACTATGCTGCTATATCTAATTCAGAATTGCCTCAAAACTACTAAAATTTCAGATTTCTTTTTAAGAATCGAACTGTTTTCATTGCTTCTCTTTAACACAATTTCTTTTTCAATTCTTTTGTGTACACGTATGAACAACTTGAAAGAAAAACAAAAAGAAGACAATTGGAGATGACAAGAAAGGTATAATTTTCAGCAGAAGCTGCTCTCCATAAACTTAACAAACTCCCCAAAATCTATCTTCCCATCACCATTCTCATCATAAGCTCCAATCATTTCCATGCACGAATCCAATCCAGTTCTCTCAAAACCCAGCTTCCATAGAACTCTTTGCAGCTCTCCTGCATCAACAAAGCCATCACAATTCTCATCAAACACAGCAAAAGCCTCTTTCACTTCCTCCAAGCTCGGTTCCTTCTCATCAAACATGGCCACAACTTCCTCCTCTAACATAAACTCCTTAAGTTTCTGCTCACCTTCTTCATTTCCTCTCATCATCAGCCCCATCCTCTCCATAACAAGCTCCACTTCTTCTCTCGTGATAAGCTTCTCAGCCTCTGCTCTTTCTTCTTCAGCTCTGAGCTGACTCTTCGTAGTCTTTGAAAAACGGGAAGGGAAAGAGAAATATCTCTTGGACAGCTTAAGAAATCTGGCGAAAAAAGAGATGATTGTCTCAAGGATGATGAAGCCAACAAGCTCCGTTGACAATAGGCTCTTCTCCATTGGAATCTTAGCTTTGAAAAGAGAGGAAGAAGTTCAGGAAGAGGAGAAGAAGATTACTTTGTATTGGTTTTGTTGTTGAAAGAGGAGAGAAGAAGTTGGGTTATATAGAATGGTTTTGGGTTTGTTGAAGGGAAGATAAGGAAGACAAATGGCATCGTAGTGGTGGTCCAAATACAAAGCTGAAGGAACATTGGTAAGATCGCGTTGAAAGAACATAGAAAATATGGGGGAGGTGAGGTTCGCGGAAAGAGAGGAGGAATAAATTATTTTGTTTAGGAAGTTTCATGGAAGGTGCAGAGGCGAGCGAAATACCGTCGCGCCTGCTTCTCTTCTTCTATGTTAATTTATGCTTTGCGAATCTGTCTTTTTTGGTTTGTCTTCGCATGCGTGGATGTGTCTGAAATGAGGTTGAAGTTGCAAAAAATAATATAGTAAACGATTCATAATATCATATTTGTTGGAGGAAGCCAGCGCGCTACTTCACAATACTAAGGTAAAGGGGATGTTAGGTCAGCAGTATAATATTTTAAATTGAAGAAACATATTCACAAATAAATTTGGTTTGAACTGCTTCAAATTTAAATATTACTTCAACAAGGGTCGAACAACATTTGATTGAACCTAGGTTGAATAAGGCTCAACATATTTGAATTTGATTTGAACATTCCTTCACGTGCAATGTCTTGCGATCCATTCGTAGCGGGTTTGTTTCACATCTTTGATTCCAAGATCCCATTGAGCTTCCTCTTCTTCTCACACATTGTCAATCCATTCGCTTCCTTCATGGCTAGCTCGCATTAGGGGTGCAAACGAGTTGAGTCGAGTTCGAGTCAGAGGGTGTTCGAGTCGAGCCCGACTGTCAAATACCAAACTCAAGCTCGAGCTTGACTCGACAGAGGAAATAAAGCTCGTCGAGCTGCTCTAGCAATAGTTTGACCTCAGTCTGTTCGCTAGAGTCATGTCCGTTGCCAGTGTCGCGTCCGTCGCCAGCGCCTCGTCCTTTGCTACTTCCCTCGTCGCTGTTAGAGTTCACTTTTGTCGCCAGTTCCACTTATGTCTCCAGCGTCCGCGTCCGCATTGGCATTTTCCGGGTCGCGAATCCCCTCCAGCTTCCGCGTTGTCAAGCTCGCAAGTCGAGCAGTTTCCCGCGCTTATTTTCATGTTCCCGCCTGCGATTTCATTTTCCCGGCTGGCAATGTGAGCTGCTCGAAGAGCTCGAGAGTCAAGCAATGCACTTTTCTATCTCGAGCTCGATAAACTATCAAGCTCAAAATCGTGTTCGAGCTCGATAAGCTCGACTCATCAGCCTGTTACAAAGTCGAGCTCGAGCTAGCTCGCAAATGGGCTTGACTCGGTTGCACCCCTAGCTCCCATTGCAAAATATTCTTCCTTCAAGTGCAATTGGATGAGCCGACGAGCCCTGCCATCGTAAAATCATCTATTCGTGAGCCGGTCTTGACCATGAGCCCCAAACTTCCCCAATCCCATTTGGTCCTGTTTGCAAGCCCCCAACTTCAATGGTCTCATCTACTCCTATTCGTGAACCCCTAATGAACACCCATGCGACCGAAATTCTTGCTCCAGTGAGCTTCATTGACGTGTTTGAGAATTTGGTTTAAACATGTTCAAATCACAGTAAAAATTAAAGTTCAATTTAAGGTTAAAATTGAAACTAATTCGACTAATTTTTTTTTCTCAGGATTAGGTTCAATAAATAATTTCCGAATATCGAAGAGAGTCCTTAAATATAAAAGAGAGATAATTTGATGTGAACTGAGGTCAAGCATATTTCTCTAATATAGATAAATTGGCAAATAAATTTATCCAATTTTGAATGAGAACTAATTGAATTTCTTTTTATTTTACTCAGTAATTTGATTTTTTTGGAGGAGGATTTACATGCATACCACCCGTATATCACTCTATTTATATATCTAACGTCTAAAACTTAAATATTTCATTCATATAATCATATACAACTTTAATATCAAATATACAACTCCTATATTTTATTCATATTATTTCATTTTTAGCACGCATATTTAATCTACGAGTGGTATGCATGTAATATTTAAGTTTTAGGTGTTAGATATATAAATAGTGATATAATATGTTATGTTAGTAAATCTCCCCTTTTTTAATCATGCACCTTTATCTATCAAATATAAAAAATTAAATTCACAAACATTATCTTATTATAGATAAAAGGCATCTCTTTGCACTATAACCACACAACAATAAACACAAACAAGAAAGAGAAAATATAGCATAAAGAAAGAACGTCAAAATTTAATGTGAAAAAATTCAAAATCGAGAAAAAAAAATCACATAATCATACCAAATCAAAAAATTCACTATGAAAATTGAAATAAATTTATATAAATATCTTTCTCTACCACTCTCTAATATCTTTCTCTACCACTCTCTCTTTATCTCTCTTCACTCTTACTTCATTCTCATACATAAACAAACAAAGAGAAACTCATTTAAAAAACACCACGGAACAAAACCCTCATGAAAAAGAAGAAAACTACCCAATCTGCCTCGCAGTGCAGCGACACTAGATTTGGAGCTACACGGCAATCTACTCTTCGTCTCCAATCCGCCTGATATCAACGAGATTTGGAGCGCCACAGTATTTCACTAGCTGTCTATCTCCAAACAAACTATACAACACCTCATGCTCGAATATGAACTATTATAATGCCTAGAAGGTTTTAGTTCATATGCAAGGGCGGAAAAATCCCCCCCCCCCCCCCCAAAAAAAAAAAAAAATACTATGATTTTTACGCGTTTGCCCCCTAACATAATTATACATATTGTGTAGAGGGGTTATTACAAGGGATTTTAGGCAATTGACCCCCTAAAATTTTTAAAATACTATAATCTTTAGGCAATTACTTCCAGTATAATTAAACACATTATGTAGAGCATAATTAAACACATTGTGTAGAGGTGTTATTGTCAGGGAACGATGAACTAAATACAAAGAGAAATAGTAAAAATAGAATATGATACACTGCCCCTGAAAACCCCCACAAGGGCACTTCCCCTTAACCCTGCGACCTGACCGGGCAAGTCGAACCCCGTCAAGGGGTACTGCCGCGCCCCCTTAGACCCCCAACACATTGTGTAGAAATGTTACATAATTTTTGTTTAAGAATAATTGTCATTATATAAAATGTATTATATATTCAAGTACAAATAATCATTAGTCACTAAAATTATATATATATATATATATATATATATGAAAAAAAAAATCTACACTTTTATTTGCCTCCTTTGACGACCCTCCAAGAACATCATCGTGACCTCCCAACCATTTCCCGGCAGTTGGACAATAGTCCAGCACTATATGGCAACCCTCCAATGCACGAATTAGTAGGTCCGGTCACCGGACCTAAATTTGCATCCGAAACCTTGCGCTTTTCATGCGCTTTTGATGTATTTTTACAAAAGGACAGCTAATATGCGCTTTTATTGAGTATTTGAAAAGTGCAACAAACACATGAGTGAGATATTCGTTGAGCTTTTGCTTTATTTTTTTCAAATACTCAACAAAAAAACAGCTAATATGCAGTTAAAATTGTGTATTAACTGCCCTTTTGCAAAAATATATCAAAAGAGCGATAAAACGACAAATTATTCAGGGAATTTTCCCACTTTTGGAAGGACGATGCAGGAGGATGACAGCAATTGGACTTACCAAGAGCCTGGACCAAAATACCAATCCAAGGGAGCAGTCACCTCTTCTTCACGTCACCACCACCTTCACCTCCTCTCCATCCCTTGCATTAATAATGTCCATTAATGGAGAGTTTTCAGTTGTTAACGCCTTTTCCCTATAATTATTTTATGTACCAGTGACCCAGTTCCATTGTTTTTGGAATTATTCTGTAGAGGACGCCGAACGTCGTTCATAACCTAAGAAAAGCGTCACGTCACCCCTATTTCAGTCGCAGCTTGGTACTGAGGTCGGTACTGGATGATATGCGTGCACCTGATTGGTCTCTGGATGGCAAGCTGTGTCTGGTTGTCCTTTACAGCTTTTGATCTTTGTATAAAGATTTATGTCATGATTGTTTCAAGTAAATTTTATGTTGATTAAATAACTTGATCTTGTATATGATAAATACACTAATGGCAGTTATTTGCATTATTTATCTCGCCTTAATTAGATTGATGCAATATATTACACAGTTAAGACTGCATATTTAGGAGTTATTTGATTTTGATTGAAAGTGAGTGTGAATTTGTTTCAAGTATTGAGAGTTTTAAGACAAGACTACTAAATATAACCTTGCATAACCATCATTTTTGCTTTAGAGCCTGCAAAAAATATTCAAGATTAGTATTGTGCATATGAACATGGCGGGGAACCAGCCTATAAATTTCAGGAGGACCAATTCTTATAAATAAAAGTTATATATATATATATATATAATATATATAATTTTAGTGGACTAATGATTATTTGTACTGAATATATAATACATTTATATAATACAATTATTCTTAAACTAAAAAATTAGTAAACATTTTATTTAGCAACAATGTGTTGGGGGTCTAAGGGGGCGCGGGCAGCGTTACCCCCTGTGACGGGGCGTTCGACTTGCACCGGGTCAGGTCGCCAGGGTTAGGGGAAGTGGCCTTGGGGATTTTCGGGGGGCAGTGTATCTATTCTATTTTTTACTATTTCTCTTTGTATTTAGTTCATCGTTCCCTGACAATATAACACCTCTAACATAATGTGTTTAATTATGCTCTACATATTCGTGTTTAATTATACGGCAAATAAATTGCCTAAAAAGATTATAGTATTTTAAAAATTTAGGGGGGTCAATTGCCTTAAAAAATCCCTTGTTAATAACCCCTCTACACAATATGTATAATCTGTTAGGGGGGCAAACGCGTAAAAAATCCATAGTTATTTTTTTTTTTTTTTTGGGGAGGGGTGGGTGGATTTTTCCGCCCTTGCATATGAACTCAAAACCTTCTAGCATTATTAATAGTTCATATTCGAGCATGAGGTGTTGTATAGTTTGTTTGGAGATAAGACAGCTAGGGAAATACTGTGGGCGCTCCAAATCTCGTTTGATATCAGGCGGATTGGGAGAGTTGAA